TAATTCGGGGAACTTGAGCACAGATCCAATTCCCTAAATCAAGAACCCCTCACCAACATCAAGGAATATGAACTCCAAGCTGCATCCAACACGAAGGATGAATGGAAATGAATGGTATAAAATACCGACACAATGGAAATATAAACACATATGCAGTATAATGTGATCCTTTATTGACAACGTTTCGCCCACACAGTGGGGTTTTTCAAGTCGCAAACAGATGATCTGTTTGTGACTTGAAAAACGCCCACTGTGTTGGGCGAAACGTTGTCAATAAAGGATCACATTATACTGCATATGTGTTTATATTTCCACGAAGGATGAAAAATGTAGGAACCAGGGAACAGCTCACAATAAACGCAGCTTTAAAGGTAAGAGAAAGGTGTCAGCATCTTCACTGCCTGGCGCCCTAATTCCTTGGTGATCTTATTTCACGCTTACACAGTTTTAAATTCAAAGTTCCCCTAATGCAGGCAGGTGCACTCCCGCTCCAGTGACTTCCAATGCAGGGAGAGACTGTCTCAAGTAGGCAGAACCTTTTGTGTTCAACGAGAGGTAAAACTATAAACCATCACCTAGGCTTGGTTTAAACGCTTGTTTATTTAATCTTGTAGTACGGTAAATTAGTTTATCTGAGATTTTTTTTAACCAAAGTTTAAACATTCTTCAGGTTGTTGGCAGAATGACGTAATAAACGTCAATAAAATACCACTAAACGTTTTTCTTAATTATCAGGATGGTTCAACTATTTCTCTTTCCACTCACACTGTACTCACCTATATGTGGTTGTAGGGGTCGAGTCATAGCTCCTCTGTGTGTGTGTGTGTGTGTGTGTGTGTGTGTGTGTGTGTGTGTGTGTGTGTGTGTGTGTGTGTGTGTGTGTGTGTGTGTACGACTGTCAATGAATAAATGGAAAGATGAACGGGGACTCGAGTCGTGGTTTTAAGCACAGAAAAATTCCGCGACTGGCCAAGACTCAAACCCGAGGCTTAGGCAGCCTTCCATTAAGCCAGCTATAAATTCTCGACGTCTCTCTACCACTACACCACCACGGCAGCAGATGTTAGGTGTCTAGTGAGAACACTAAACATGCTAGACATTCGGGGAGAGGTAAGCTCAGATGCTAATTTCATACTCCTTCCGACTGGATACTAGCCTTATGAGCAGTACACAAATGTAACCACTGAAACAAGTGGGGGACTCTGAGCTTACCACTCCCCGAATGTGGCGGGCGTTAGGGAAACCATGTCTAATGCTCTCACTAGACACCTAATGTCTTCTGTAATGGTAGTGTAGTGGTCTAGAGCGTCGAAAGTTTAGCTGGCTCCCTGGGAAGCTGTCTAAAGTGTCTCCTGGTGTACAAACCTCTGTAATCATTACCTGAGCATCAGCGCTCTAGGAGTCCCCACCAGATGATGCTCATACCCCTAGGAGAGAATCTCCAGCCTCCGGAAAATGGGTTAACGAGGCTATAATTACAAGAGAAAGTCTGCCGACATAAACAGCGATTATCACAGCCTTTTCCTTAGGAATTCCGTGAGTAGAAGTTCCCTCTAGACACATCGCTGTACTCTCCGTTTGAGCTATGTGAGCAGAAGCTCATGAAGATGATTTGCATTAAGTCATATGTATTATATCAGTATGCTAATTAAGTAATTGTGTGTACACACACACAAAAGTTATATTAAATTATGAGATTCCCATAACCTTACCTGGAAGCACGTACCAAGGTGGGAAGAGAAGCGAGTTATGCAGACCTTCGAGCGTTGCCAGGTAGCAGCATCAGCCAGCTGGGAGACCAGGCTGGCAGTGTTGCCGGGTCATAGGTGGTCACCTCTCAGGTATGTACCATGCGGAAATGGAAAGTGAACCGCCCGGTCTGAAGGTGATGAACAGTCTTGATTGCACATAAATTTACATATGCACATCTAATTTAAGCTCTCCTCTCCCTTCATCCATCCCTTACCCTCCTCTCTCTCTCTCTCTCTCTCTCTCTCTCTCTCTCTCTCTCTCTCTCTCTCTCTCTTCAAACGCATCAGTAAATCTTTTCTTCTCTGGCAAACACTCGAAAACTTTCTCTTTGCTATCATTCAGCTTTCAGCCGTTCCTTTAGCCGGATACTATTATCTCTCACTCAGGATTCCTCGCTCTACAAGCAGCATTATCAGGGTGTTCACACAAGAGGGATCCAGGCTCTTTCTCGTCCAGGTACTTGGCTGTGGGGAGGCAAACTTGAATTCCACTGACTTCGTTGTGTCTAACAAATGCTTTGGATTCCAGTGGCCTTTTCTCGGACAGATTGAAGAACAGAGACAAGTTGTTTAGCAAATTTTTGTCATGACGATGTTTCGCTCTGTGTAGAAATTTATCAAATCATACATATAACAAGAATCATGCCCCTTCTCACTGAATTTTCTATATCTTTGGGTATAACGTGTTTTACCAGTTCGTTAGATTTTGAGGCGAACGTAGGGGTGTTGGAGAAAAAGGTTGTTAGAATGTGTACATAGTCCCAGTTCGCCCAGTGTGGCTGAAAATGTTTCTTGCACCTAGTGTGAATTATTCAGCATCTAATGTGAATTATCCAGACTTGAATTTATAATATTTTTTAACACTGACTTCAGGAGAATGTCATATTGACTTAGGGGAGGCTGGTAAAATGAGACAGACAGCTTAAAAGCAGGTTAGCCTAGGAAGGGATAGACATCTGAACATCACGCCTCATGAAATCTTCATAACACGAGTGCAAACAAACCAGGAACGGGTGTTGTTTGAACCCATGGGAAGTGAACCGTAAAACTCCAGGCCAGTGCGTAAGCCACTGGCCAGCTGGCTACAATAAGATTCATCTTACTGTATTACTGTGTTATTGTTATTACTGTCATAACTAAGCGCTAAACCCACAAGGGTCAGAGCTGTCATTTTATTGTAGCCTGGAGTTATATGACTCACCATAGGTTCAAATCCCACCAGTTCCGTGGCTTACTGAGTGTTGTGAGCATTAGTACTTTTGATTCTAGGGAAATAATCATAGATTATTTCCCTAGAATTTTGTCGACAGCGTTAGAGGCAAGTGGAGCACCAAGAAAAAAAGGAGTCTGAAGAATCAATGATTTGCACTGCTTGCAAGGCAGCTGCTGTGAGCTGATCAACAGTGTGTTGGTTTGAGGACACTAGATAATACCTCGGGAGGCTTAGAGAGGTCTACATTCCATCTGTTCTCTGCGATTTTCCTGGTGTCCCTAAATAAAGGGGAAAGCACTTCACTCCGCCACTCAGAACATACATGAAACATTCTCAATGTGTTGTCAACAAATTTCACAGTGCTCTTCACTTTACCACATACACTCTACCTAAGACACATCACTGAGAATACACTTACATTCATATTAGTAATATTTGTATAATTCTTTTTCTTCACATCTCTCACAGAAAATCTAATACAAACTTCTCCTTATGTAATCCTTGTTCAGTCAGTTATATGTAAAATAGATTATACTAGCTAATTTAATTTTGCATTCTAATATATTTTAACTATTTCAGGCACTGAAATTACTGAAGTTGTGCAGACAGTCATTTTCCGTTGCATGACTGGTGCCTAAACCAGTCGGTTCCCCACTGATTCATTATTTAGAAATTCATGGTTACCTTAAGCCCATAAAATTAGGTCGTCATTCACCTCACGAGGGTGAGGTAAATGACCCTTAAAAAAGAACGACATCCACCATAATAATAAAGTTCATAAACAGAAATAGTCAGATATGATCCGAGGAAGTGGAAGGTAGTTACAATGCCTTGGAGTAAAACTCATTTACAAGCATCAAAGGCATCCCATTGATTGCTACAACTTCAGGAACACAAGTGAAATGAAATTGCAATTTATGATTTAGACACGTGCAACAGTAAATATGTATATATGTATATATATGTATGTATGTATGTGTAGGAGGCCCCTTAGAATATGTCAGTATGTGATTCACTCTATAAACTAAGTTAGCACTCGCATTATTCTCTGCTTATTGACCATATTCTTCTCTTATGCTTGAGAAAATCTCTCGTTGAATGTACCGGATGTAATGATGGCTCACTCACAAACATTTTCTTTTTTCCTTTACAATAGAAATAATGTATCATTTTTGCAAACTCGTGTAATATATATATTTATATGTCTTACAGATATTGCAATTAGCTATCCCTGGTTCAGATATATACATTCAAATTTCTGTACATTTTCCTTTTATCTTTAGTAAACAAACAGTTCGCAGCTAAAACTGAGATATTTGTTTAACAGTGGCTCATTACCTCAAGCCATCTCGTAGCCTAATTTTCCAAGAGAGTCCGAAGTCATAGCTTTAAGTCTACATAATAAAAGTTGTTTAATATTCACCTGTGGTTGAGGGACATATGGAGAGGTATAGTTTGAGGGCCTCGCCAGGGCACACCCACCAACTTCGTCCTTGTGACAGGGGCCACAGAGGCGAACATTCCCACCTTCCTCCACCGTAACACTTATGAGTCAATTTTTCCCTCAGTGTGGCGGTCGCGTGTTGGACTAGATCTCAAGGAATGACTGCTGTATATCTGGAGCGGGAGTCAGTGTGTATTATACCCAGGAAGAGCATCATCTTAGTTTTGGCATTTTTGCAGATCGTGTATGGTTATGCAACTCCAATTTCCTTTAAAGTAGCTGGATTTTATGGCGTTTGGAATATAATTGGAGCTGTAGCAGCTGGGTGAAGGAAAAACAAACTCGTGTCTGTCAGGGTGACTCCCCCTGTTTACCAGATTATTTTATCTGTTCTAATTCCCTTTAGGTATTTGATTCTCGAAAGCTATTTCATGATCTTCATAGGTAATGTACTGTATTTCAGCACACCTTACGTATAAAAATAACTGATAAACTCCTGATACTAAATATAAATATAAATAGCAAATATTCTCGACTCGGCAGCCTCTGGGAAACCAAAACAAAATGAGTGACGTCAACATTTAAGCTCCTCCCACCACAGCGGCTGACTATATAGCCAGACATGCCATTGAAAAAATGTACATTCAGGTGCAATATCAGTCACTAACAAGCGGTCTCATTACGAAACAAGCCAAGGTGAGAACTAAAATTCTGGCAGATGCAAGTGTTGTGCTGTAGTGCGTTCGTAATTAGTGCTTGGAGACTTCGACGTGACATCCAGAAGTGATCCAAAACGTTTCCGCTGGACTTAATCTCCGTAACCTCGTGCCCAGGACTTATTCATGTGTGTGTTTGTGTAGATACAAGAGACATGGCAGTCGCTACGAGGAGTCGGGGATTCGTGTTACGATGAGAGAACGGCGTTGCAAGCGTTACGATATACGTGTTTGATTTTCCTTGCAACCATTTGCTTTTGCAATGATATTTACTAAAGAATTTTCTAAATACATTCTTTTCGGTGAATGGTAATGTTGCCTTTAAGTATGTAAAAAAAAAATACACAATGCTCAAAACAAACTTTATTTACAGACGACTTCTCGCTCTAAGCTTTATGAACCTCTATTTAGAGAGAAACGTCATCTGTAAATACACTTTTGCTCCTAGCATTGTGTCTTTTTTTTACCATAATTATGGAGAAGGTGCCCCTTAAATTTCAGTTTCCATCACTCGCTCAATGAGATTTTATTTAGCGAACCAATCAGAATTATTTCACCTAGTTTATCATTACATTTTGTCGTTATTATTAATTTAATATACTCCGTTCAGGCTTCAGTGGGTATCTTTAATAACTTTAGGATACACTAAGATCTCTTTCTGAGAGTTTGCTTGTCAAGTTTTTCAAGACTATCGGGTGCGCGTGGATCACTAAGTTGGCAATTAACCATTACAATAATATCTCTAAAGCTAAAATAAAAGTAATGTCTCGGTATATATACACTGAAAAGGATCCCAAAAGGGGGCAGAAATATACAAATCATTTTATCTTTTGAGTTAGTCTCCATTTGGGTTATTATTGACTACCGAGAAGTGTTCATTACACTTTAATTATTCATACCCTAGAAGATATGCACAACAACCACTGTGAACGAATAGTGAAATTCCAAGCGCTTTCGTGGCTTCTCACACTGATAATGTGAGAAGTCACGAAAGCGCTTGGAATTTCACTATTTTTTCACAGTGGTTGTTTTGCATATTCTGATATCACGTGTTTACTGTGATCTTATTGCACTGGTGGATATATATCCTTGGGTGTATATGCCCTGTGTGTGGAATAAATCTCCGAGATATACACATCTCAATATATTATTGCAGTGTGTAGATAATAGAGGTATCTGTCAGTACACGCACCGCGATATATACACTGAAAGATATTCACTCGTCTGTGTTAATACAATGTTGCAGAAGCAGAACATTAAGAAACTGCTAAAACAATTTCTTCTTTCATAATAGCTGTCGTCAACAGCTATTATGAACGGATCCTGATGACTCTCGCTCGCAGCCTGTCGTCTCTGACACGAGCGCCTGTAGTAGTAACCATGCTCGAGGCGTTATAGTGTTTGTCTCGTGTCCTTTGTTGGTGCTGGTAATTTTAATTCTTCTTGGATATTCTTATGTTTTGAATTTTATTTTTCAGTGCCAAGAGCCCTAAGTGATCTATAAGGTAAACGTGAAGATACAATGTCTACGACTTTGTACCTTCACACTCAAGGTGATGGTCTTTACCGCCGGCCCGTTACCACCGCTCCTTTTTACGGTGACGCTGGGGTTTTTGTCGTCCGTTGCACTGGGTGTTTACTTACTGCTCTTAGTCACTAAACCCTTCGTACTTTGCTTCCGTCTTCAGCTGTAGCTCCTCGTTCCTGATCAGAGAACACCTTGGGGGTTGGGGCATCTACCATTTGACTTTCTCTGGTTCGAATCTCCGACAGCAAACTTTTGATTCTTACAAGCGAATGAAGCGATTATTACTTTTTCCCAGCTCAATGGCAATGAAAGGGAACATGAGCTAGACTTTGACCAGGTTGTGCCAGGGCGAACCATCTGTAAAAGTGGCAAATGGGTCGAAGATCGTGGCCTCTTTAATGTTTCCAAATTCACAGCTTGTGGGTGGTTCGAAAAAACCTTAGCGCAGGTGTCGCTGGTCTCCTTCGTCGGAGCTCCGTACATAAATCTTTGAATTGTTAAACATGCTTACTACGTTTACCCAGCGCGCGTGCAAGAGCGTGCACACACAGTACATACTACACATACACACACTCCGTGAATACACATACATACATACACACACACACACACGCTACATTTATAAGCACGCATGTATAAGCACACACACACAAACACATACATATATAAACACACATACGCAAACACAAACATTTCGCAATCGCTGCATGACTTCCCTGTCCGGGTTTTAGCGTTTCCTTATAATAATAATAATAATAATAATAATAATAATAATAATAATAATAATAATAATAATAATAATCTAAAGCTATACGAATAAGAAAAACAGCAGTAATACGAAACCGATTATATAAAGCATTGTCTCTTTGCATATTAAATACCGTCTGGCAATCCTAAAATTTGTCTAAGACATATAAAGGTATTCTAATGACAAGATTAATTTAGCATCTACAAATTTATCTAATATCTAGGTTTTCTGATGAAAAAATATTGATAAAATAGGGAGAAATTTCCTTTCCATAGGCTTACCCCACGATATCTTGGTGTTCTGTTGGGGATGCATATATATATATACGAGAGAGGTAGCATCAATCGAGGCAGTTGCGTGTGGAAAGTCGGCGGGTGAAGAGGGACGACTCTCCGTGTTCTCACCACATCAGTATTACCTCAGTGTTAGTGCTAGTTGTTACTATGTTCAGTGTCAATGAGGAAGAAGAGGTACACGTCGTGGAACTAGCTTTTACTGGGACGACGTTTCGCTCTAGCACAAGAGAAACGTTATCCCGATGAAAGATGGTTCAGCAACATGAGATCTATTTTTTCTTTACTACTTTCAGGGGTTCAATATTCGAAGTTGCCTTAGCAATGGTAGGATGTTGCATGATAGGTCAACATGATGGACATTGTTTTTATTTTCACTTCAGCGTCCGTCTCCCGCCAGGGGCGACCCGAAGAGGAAAACACATTCACCATCATTCATTCAATAGCCTTTTTTCCAGAAGTGTGCTGACATTACTCCTCTTTCAAAGTGCAGACACACAGCTTTTTCTTCCCTCAGGACTCGAGTCAAACAGGACCAGTACGAGTTTATTATTGATCTACTAATTACCCAAATAAACGAAAACTATTTATTGTTGGTGCATAATTATTATTGCATTAATATTATATTCAAGATATCTATACTTTTAAAGGTCATCCAGGTTAAAATACAGTTGTGTTTGGCCCTCATAACTCATACATTAACTTTGATCCAATGTTGTTGCTGTGAGATATCAGTCACTATCTATGAGAAAGCGGAAAGTCTATAGAAGTTAAGTCCTACATTGTTAGGGGTGTGGATGGTAATCAGATTTAATTAATCCAAGGAATATGAAGGTAACTCAGATTCAGTGAACCAAGCGATTATGAGCCACTTCTTTCCTCCTATTTACCTCTCTTTCTCCCTCCCTTTCCTTCTTTCACAAAATTACATACGGCGATTTTGTTCGTCAGATCTCGAAATATTTTCAGAGTTTGTTTAATGGGTTTGATTAATATCACATAATATAGTTTAATACTTAAATCTCTGTAAAATTTGTATCTAATCGCATTTATTTTTCCCCTTCACTTTGGCGCTTATGGTTGTTGTTATTATGTGAAGCATTAAACCCGCGTGGGCCATTCAGCACAAGTAGTGCCAGAGATTCTATTCTCCTGTTAATTGGGCGATATACTCACACCCTAACTAACTATTTTCCATTTTTATATATATCTCCGTAGATGATGAAGAAGATCCTCTTCGTAGCCTTCGTCAGCGTGGCGTGCGCGGCGTCGGTGGAGAAGAGAGAAGGAGTCGCGGGGAAGACCAAGGACACCGTGGGTCAGACCAAGGACACCGTAGTTCAACCCAAGGAGTCTGTGGGTGAAGGCAGGGACTCTGGGTCCTCGTATGCTGCCCCTGCCCCTGCCCCAACCTACGACGATGGCGGTTCACAGGGCAACCTCTATTACTACTACTACCCTGTCTCCGAGTACGGCTCCGCTGAGACCTCAGACTCCGAGTACGAGGTCTTGACCGCAATCATCTTGCCGCTGCTGATCCTGGGCGGCATCCTCCTCGGTCTCTCCTCCCTTACCTTCACCCTAACCACCCAGAGAGCTCTCACCGACGGCCCCAACGAATCTGACTTTGTTACTCAGCTTCACGACGAGATCGAGCGAGTCTTCTACATTTACCTCAACGCTATAGAGAATGAAGAATGCATAAAGAGAACCATCTGCGAGATTGGAGTCTACTCTAAGGACCTCAAGGGCAAGGACATCGTTCTCGGGTATGAATTCATTTGTTCTTGTTTACGTAGTATTCTTCAGTCTCTCATTTCCATATTTTTTCATTAGTTTGCAACCTTCTCGCGACACAATGCTAAATTATTCTTTAATTAACAGTCGTTTACTCATTTAAATCTCATCCGTGTATATCTCAGAAGTGATTTATCATTAGGTATCAACGCCCTCAGTTTTGACTCAAGATTTCTTTGACTCATAATTCGTCACTATCCTTAACTCATGACAAAACTATTTTTATTGAATCTTCTTTATTTAACTACTATTACAATGTTGACTCGTACTGGTTTAAAAGCACAACGCAACTCTGTCTTCAGCTCAGGATATACATTAGACTTTAAAAATTTAAATCATAAAAATGGTCACTCATGACTGACTTTTAAATCTTTATAATTTTACACCGAATCACGACTCTTACCCCTCTAGTTTACTTTGGTTTCTCCCCATTCCGTCCTCCACCCCTTATCTTACGCATAACGTAATGACATACATCCTACTGACATACATACCACTACTACCCTCCCGACCCACAGCTGACACCAACACTACTGTCCTGTATTAATCTGTACTGCTAATCAGGGCACATCTTGTACCCGTTACCCACATTACAGGAGGGTCAGGTGCTTCCTTCTCGTGGCTGCTGATGCTACTGTGCATGAGATAGAGAGGGAGAAAAGAGAGAGAGGGAGAGAAAGGAAAGAGTGAGAGAAGGTACAACTTTCCTGCAGAAACGTAGCAAAAATTGATAGTTAAAGTTATTCAGCGAAAATCAGTCTGAACAACAACAAAAATTATGTATATCGTGGATGTTAAGTAATATTTATAAAATTTAGACTGACCTTAGATAGGTTTAAGCTATATATTACATTAATTATAACTAGGTTAGGTTGCAAACTTTTGGTAAAAATCATCAGTACCGAATACCATTTTAATTCACGCAATGGTCTGAGACATCTCTCACCCTGAATGGACGTGTGTGCATTTACAAGTTAACCACCAAGCCTAAGGTTCGAGCACTTCCCTCAGTTTCTCTTCTTTCCCAGTTCAACATTTGCAATACGAGAGTTATTTTTCTCAAAATTACTCGTCTAGCTTTTTATTTTTTTATTTGTTTTTTTTGCATATCATAAATATGGGTTTGTAAACAAGCGACCCGTAGAGCTCAAAATATAGATGAACATTCACTCACGTCGTACTGAGTTTGAAACAAATGTAGATTATGAATCAACAGCGTCAGGCTGAAAAAAGGCAGGGCAAGGAACCCAGACTCGAATATCAAAATGGTACACAATACTGACAGGTTGATAAGTAAGACACTAACAGTTAGGTATCTTCAGTCGAGTACAGAAGAGTTAGCAGAAGCAGAAGAGATATGAAGACGATGTAATTAGTCCATCACCCTTAAAGACGTAGTTCTGAGGCTGTCAGTTCTTCAGGGACTGACCACCTCAAAACTGCGTCTTCAAGGGTGATGGACTGATTATATCGTCTTCATATCTCATATCTCTACTGCTTCTGCTAACTCTTCTGTACTCAGCTGAAGAAGCCTAATGTGTAGGCGAAACGTTTCGAAATAAAGATGCCTAACTGTTGCACATGTATCTTACTCATGAACTGAGACCCGAACCCCACAATATAACAAATCGGTGAATACACCCACTCGCAGCAATCATGGGTAATTACACTCGCACGCGCGTGCGCCACACACACACACACACACACACACACACACACACACACACACACACACACACACACACACACACACACACACACTCGCAGGCAGGTCGCACCAGATGCGCTCATCTTTCACAACTTTCAACTTTCACAATTTCGCCCAGTGAGAAGTTAATCCCTCCGCACTCCAGAAATTTTCACTCTACGCGAAGCTTCACTCGTGTGATTTGCCGTGACAGTTCATGACTCGACATGACAGCTGATGACTTCGCGGTAGCTGGTAACTTTCCCCAGACTTACTAGAGAAACTTAAACTTTACGAGGTATATAATGACCGCCCTACCTAGCACTTTGTCAAACATAACATTTTACCGCACTAAAATACCGTAATAACGAAACATAAAATATTCACGAAATACTCAGCACAGCAATATTGAATACAGTTATCTGCAGAGGTAAAAGTCAATTTTTTTTTATAGATTGACAGGAACTGGATAAGTAACTCATAATGGTTAATGATACGGGCGAAACGTTGTATAAAATTTTCTTCAAATTGAGGGATAATTGTTAATTTATTTTTTTTCGTTTGTCGATTTCATGTTAAGAAAGATTATAATTAATTTGTGAGGATGTGCTATATCTGTGGGTATGAAACAACGCCTGGAAAATGGGAGACAAATGGGTTAGAATAGAAAAAGGGAGGGTTGAGGGAGAACCTGGTTGATGGGAGCAGAATATACGACTCCCTGCTTCTGTCTTCCATATCGTGTTCTTTATTTTATGGCAAAATACGTTCAAGCTTGTTATTTGCATATAAAGCCACACTTGGAGTTGTAACTTCAGACTATTTCGGTCCGTTCTGAGTCTCAAACTAGTAGATCTATACTTCTGATTTTCGTCCCACTATTTTTTTCACTCGGTTCTGACTTACTCATTGTTCAAGACAGACCGAAACGTCGTCTGGACTTTCCTAAGTGTACGAAGTTTGGGAATTTTTACAACCACAGTTTTTTTTTGATACTTCGACGTTTCAGCACATTCTGTATCATTTTTGTAATATTTGAAGTGTAGGGTCGGACTCCCATACTGTGACTGATGATTTAGCAGTCATCAGTCCTCAGATGATGACTTAGCAATCATTAGTCCTCAGAAATTATTAAATATTGCTAATTACTTGTTCACTGTACGTGAATTTACATTTCATTTGCTAGTGAAGCATTTCTGGGTTTTAAATGATGTTATATTGATTGGTTATGTAATTAAAAAAAGTGAGGTTCGTCCACTTTTCAAAACAGTTCGAGGGAAATTTTTTATCAAGTAAAACAAACTTTTATAAGAAGCAAATAATTCCCATTTGCTATCGAAAAAAAATAAGAATGTCTATAAGTATGAAAAAAAACGCAAGTTGTATTATAAGCTTTTTATTGAGCCAACGTTTTGCTCTGTGTAGAGCGAAACGTTTCCACAGCATAAACGTTTTCTTCAACCTATGATTTTGTCTTCCTCTTTAGAAGTAACTTAATTCTAAATGATGAAAGGAGAGATCTTTGACCTACGGTCTCTAGCGTTCTACCGCTAACGTGGCAAGAGTCAACACAACATTATCACCACTCGCGATTAGTGAGTGACACTGGTCACTCGCTAATCGCGAAGGACCAGTGTCAGCCATAAAGAAAAACCAATTCGACAAGTAACTGTTTATGAGAGACGCGTTTGACGATCTTCGTGTGAAGAAATTCAGTCAAATGTTACCAGCAAAAGATGACTGACTTCTTGGATCATACTGGGTTTTCACACGCCATAAGTATCACCATGATGTGTGCTTAAAATACTTGCAAAGTGTCTCCAGCTCCTTGGATCAAAAGCCCTCCACTAGAATCAATGCATCACCATTGAAGGTGCTAGTCGTGAATACAGATTAATTATTTTGATATAAAACATGTCATTATTTTGTCCCATTTTAAATTATTCAGTGATTTATCGACGGGACGAATTATTTGATTATCTAATTATTTGATTATCTAATTTAAAAAAAAAATCCACTATAATGATGAAGAAAAACGTTGCAGACCAAGTATTCATTCTAACAACGTTTCTCTCTGTGTAGACCTTCATCAAGTCATGACTTGATGAAAGCCATACACAGACCAAAACGTAGTTTTAAGAGTTTTAAGAGCTTGTTCTGCAGTCTGTATCGTTGCTTCGTTATTGGATCCGTCCTGATAACGAACTGACTAAAGATTATAATGAATTTTCTGTTGTAAAACAGGAAAATTGAAGTTTTTAACACTTCAGTACTAACCTGTAAACAATCCTGATTTATAAACGTTATTTTCGGTATTTTATCTATTTTTTTTTTATTAGGGATGATAGAATTTTATTTGGAAAGATGAATTCAGACTTTTAACTAATAAACCGTTTATCTATTAAATGTTGAAGCTATATCTCTCCCGTTTATGATAATTTTGTTAATGATAGCTGTGTGTTAGTTTCATAATGGAATGCTAACCTAACCTAATATAACTTTGACCTGAAATACCTCTTAAATAATTATTGCTGTTTAGATTGTTCATTATAACAACTAAGTGTTAAACCCATAAGAATCATACATCGCTGCATAGATCGTTAATAAATCGCTGTATTTTAACGCAAGTCTGCCTCACATTTGAGATCTGGAGCATATTATTAACTGCTTATATTCAGTCAGCATGACGACACACATTAATGCCAGTTGTTCTACTTGCGTCTTGCAATACTAACACAAGTGTGTTAATATCTTGTTTGTATTCCTCTCAGTTTCTCAAGTACTATGGCTGCATTTAATCGGTGGATGATTGTTTTCGTATCATTCTTTCCGCTAAAGACCTTAACCATGTCCTGGCATGGACGGTCCTGTGCCAGGTCAACCGGACACTCATGAGCATCAATCTTTTTTCCTCTATACTCGTGTGTTAAAAGAGGGTTATGACGTACAGACTTAACCGATATTCCTAGTGTGACCTTAATATTTACATTACTTCACAATCTTGTAGATATCTCTCTCTCTCTCTCTTCCTCTCTCTCTCTCCTAGGGGTTCTGTTGTAAAATACAAGAACAACAACTCCGATTTGACGCGATAGACGACTCTCATTGTGCAGTTATCTGTCTTATACCAGGTGTAACACAGACAGGCGATCCAAGAGTGATGTGCACTTTATGAGGCACAAATTTCTCGTATTTAATTTACAACCTCTGCTGTAGAACATGTATGAAATGTGTCCTAAACTGATTTTCTTGCAAAATTGGCAATATGGTTATTCGTAGTCTTCG